TCAGTAGGGTGCCACCTGTTGGACACTTTGAGCAATGTCCGTGGTACACCATGTCTAGGTGACTGCATATATTCATTTTTTGTACATTCCCTTTTACGAATGCTTCCTCTCCCTCCCGCTGCCCTCAATGTTTCCTGTGAAACCAGGGAATGAGAGGATTGGTGCTGCAGTTGGGACAACGCTGGATTTATAAGAGTCGGCTGTTTGGGAGGGAGTGGGGAGACAGTTAGTGGGGTGTTTTTATACTAACGCAGAGAATGCATTAAGGTAAAAAACTGACTTTAAAAAAGTCTGTAAAAAAGTTTGACTTTAGAACCACTTTATTTCATTGTATTCTCTTTAACTAACTTATACTAATAATATAGATTTTGCAAACAGCTGTGCTAATATTTTTCAATATAAAAAATGAATTTACTATGATTTAGTGTTAAAGGGATTTAGTGTTGAATGGGTTAAAGAACTTCAGGGAAAAAAAACTTAAAAAAAAATCTCCTGGGGTAAAAATATATCTAACAAGAGACTTGTTACTCTTCTACACAGCAGCCATCCTTTCATTTGTTCTAACCATTCACAAAATACAAAGTATACTGTGAATGGACAGGGGAGAGGAAGGGCAGACAGAGCGGCTCATGTATAGGAGAGCCAAAACTCAACTGTGTGAGCGAAAAGCTATACTATCAGCACTCAGTGAAAGTGTACACTGTAAATAACAGGCAGTGATCCAAAAGGTGGCATATGCCTCCTGAGATTTAACTTTTTGTAACCCAACGGATTTACAAAACATACTTTTTCCCTAGAGTTCTTCTCAAAAGCAGGCTTGGATGTGTGGATTGTTCCCGGATAGTGGACATCCTTTGTTTCTTGTGTAGAACTTTACATTGTGATGCCAATCTGCCCAACACAATTGTGTTTATACAGTACATAATATTATTACTAATACAGCAATATTGGTTCAAACTAGAAAACTCATAAATATTTGATCATGACGCTGAGATTAATGATGTAATCACAGGGTGTCTATGAAAGGTAGGAGCTCTCCAACCTGGCTTGGGTATCCTGCTAAGGCTAAACCATGGATAGCCAGCTTTCTTCTGTTGATTCCAGCCATCCCTGTAAGAACTGTAAAGCAATGGTGTGTGCCTCCCAGAAGACTGTAGTTAGTGTGAGCACTGGAGCAGCTAATCTGTCACTGATTGAATTACCCACCAGTAAGCAGTGTTTGTTAGAGATACCTCTGAGAATTGGTTGAAATTGTTCTTCTGTGTGGTGGCAGTTATCTGGGTAAAGTAACATCTACTGTCATTTCTGTGTCTGATTTCTGGTACCCCAGTTGTCTGATAAAGAGGGAAGTGTCAGGGTTCACCAGCCTGCATGAGTTAAGAAGACATAACATTCGCTGTTTCAACCAGTTTGCAGACAGTTCTGGAGTTATATCCCAAACTGCCTCAAGAATTGCAACTGAGTTTGGAAACAGTTATTGTAAGAAATAAAGACGGCCATACATGGATCAAAAGTCAGTCGGTTCAGCAGGAACCAGCCTAATTTTGATCCATGTATGGGTGATCTGGTTGTACAGAAGTTGTTTGACTGACTTCTGTACATCTGACCTGGTAGATTTTCGCCACTCAATCAGCACCTAGCCAGCAGCTCTGATCAGTGTATACTGACTGTGGGGACTCTCAACGGAGAGGATTCCCCCATCCACCTCAAATGTGCAGATGAAGTCAATGTTTTTATTCAACCCCCTGGATGAACAAAAAAAATTACTCATCTATGAACTGCCGAAGCCTAGTAACAAATAAGACTAGTATGATCTGCCATATTCACTAAATGTAAATGCACTCGAAAACTTGTCTTCAGATGAAAAAAAATGGGGATGCCATGTTTGCAATTCAAATTTTAATAATCGGATCAAGTGCAAATGCTGGACATATGGCTGGCATAAAAAAAAATTAAAGCAGCTTTTTAGATTGCTTTGATATATTTTATTGGAATCCTGTAGTGAAATCCTTAAATTGCTTAAACGTTGGGATCACTGCTCCATTTATGAATGTTGCCACCTATACGTTTACAAGAAAGGGGTAGAATACCTTCTCCAGGATTTGTATGTTGTCAACACCAGAAAACTGATTTTATCCATTTGATCTGGTAATACCCTCCGACTGCAGACATTATTATACAGGATTTATTATATGGCTTATTATTATTTGGTACCAAGTTACAAATTTATTGTCCAATTTGCTGAAACAAGTTATCCCTGCTTCCCCAGAAACATGCTAATTCTGTATTCTCACTGCAGAAATTGGCACCACTAGCAAAGTATTTTTCTTAGAGAAACATTCTTCATTGTTTATAAACCATTTCCCTGCAATGGATGCCCCCTTCACTACCCATGTTAGCTCTTCAGGAACAGATTGTTAATCAAATAATTCTGTTTGAGAAAGTAATTTTCCAAAAGAGGAAATGCCTTGTAAATTCCATAGTCTGGGATGTATGGAATGACTGTCTTCTTACCTAACTGACATTCATACCGAATTACTGTATGTATGTAGGGGTAACGGCTTGCTGGGAAGGTAAAAACGATGATTTATGATCCCACATTATTGTTTTTACTTGACTGTATTTGTAGCCATCAAATATGTTATTGCCACGAGTCTTTAACACTATGTATATGATGAGCTGGACAAAGCTCTTTTTTTAACACTTTAAATATTTTACAAATATGAATATGTCCTATAAAAAGAGTTTAAAAAATAAAGATTTCCAAAGCCTCAAAGCTTTAACAGATTGCCTGTCAGCCAGCACTCCGACTTGGGTTTTCATGATTTTATTAAATCTCCAAGTCATTGTTTGTATAATTAAAGAAGAGTTCCAGTTTAAAAGTGACTTGGGTTTTCATGTCTTTTATTAAATACCCTTCCATTCCTGTGAGTAAAGAAGCTCCAGTCTAACAAAGGGAACTTTTTCTATTTTAATCTCTAATGGCAGCACTGCCAGTTTGCAGAGTAGCTGATCACTTAAATTAAGCTGGCTACACACTAGTGGATTTTCAAACGTTCATACAAATATTCATACAAATGTATAAGAAAATTCTATGTACATTCGATGACTAGTTCAAAAGCACTTCAAAATTTTATTTGCTTTAACATTTTATTTTCGGATGAATTTAATTTCCTGAATGAAAACAACATACACTGTTAGAAATGTATTTATGCAAGAGAAATGTTCCATTCTGCACCTTTAAATTTTCTCATCAAAAAACAAAAGTAATTTTGACCCCACTAACTGTTAGAAAATGTAACAAACGTTCTTAAAATGAAATTATCTTGAATGAAATTTTACTAGTGTAGCAAGCTTTAGAGATTTATCATTTACTTTGGGTCTGTGCCTATCCTGCATTATGATTGTGTTGGCTGGAGATGTGCTCTGTTTGTGTCCACCCTTACCTTGAAGGAAGAGGAGGAAGGAGTGGCTATATGTAGCTCATAATTTGTCTCCATAATCTTTCTATATATGTATGACAGTTGCAGACATTTGCATGTTTTTTTATTCATTTTCTAAAATTACATTGGGGTAATTACTAGTTAGTTCTTAAAGTGATACTAATCCTTATTTTTTCTTTTTTTAAATCACAAACATGTTGTACTTACCTTCTCTGTGCAGTGGTATTGCACAGAGAAAAACCGATCCTCCTTTTCTCGGGTCCCCTACTGGCTCTCTTGGCTCCTCCCCCTTGACCAGTGCCCCCCCAATAGCAAGCCACTTGTTCTGGGGGCACAGGTGTGTGCTCTCTCCGGTGCCCCCCTTTGTGTGCCATAAGACACATAGAGTTGTGGCTTGGCCTGCCTCCCACTGTCTTCTCATTGGCTGTGACTGACAGCTGTCACTTCAGCAATGAGGAGAGGGAGACCTGAGGCTCCCATGCACATCACTGGATCGAGGGTAGCCTCAGGTAAGAATTAGGGAGAGATGTGGAGGGAGCAGCACACAGAAGGCTATTTACCTTAATGCATAGTATGCATGAGGGTGGAAAACCTTTAGCCTTTAGAACCTGTTTAAATTTACTTGTTTCTGCTAGTAATATCCATTCAATGCTTACTTGTTAATCTTATGTTTCTTATATCCCCAGTGATTACTGCTGGCATATTTGGCTCTGATAGTGCTCTTTTTTTAATCAAAGAAAGTTTTATTGAGTAACAAACAGGATAATTATACAGCAATTCCAGAAATTCCTCAAACATATACAGCAAATATCAGCAGGTACAGGGAGCAAACCAAGTAGATGTCCACAATACTATATTAGTGCACAAACGTCAAGCTACATCGGAAATAAAAAGGGCTAGATATAATGCAAATAATACAATGGCAGCTGTCAGAAAATGGACAAAGTAATTGCATATAAACATCTCATTGGGATACTCCGTCAGCTGAGAAGGAGCTTGTCCAAGACCAAATCCAGCAGGCTCAGGCCCGGAGTACGTAATCATTGGCCCCAAACATCATCAAATTTATGGAAGCAGCCTCTATGTTGGTACATGTGTTTCTCCAGGCGAAGAGTTTCACCCATGCATTGATTTTTTTTTAATGTCAGAAATTATTTTTGTAAAATTTGAGCTGTTTTGTTTATTATTCTCACTTTTACCACTTGCCCTCCTGAGGATTTACCCCCCCCCCCCCCCCCCCCGGCTCCTGACCAGGCTATTTTTTGCATTACGGCGCTGTGTTACTTTAACTGACAATTGCACCCAAATGAAATTTACGTCTTTTTTTAGAGCTTTCTTTCTGTTAATTTTTTATTTTGTGCGCTATAAACAGAAGACTGACAATTTTGATAAAAAAACTTAAACATGTGCAATAAAAAAATCAAATTTCATCATAAATTTAGGGCAAAATTTATTCTGCTACATGTCTTTGCTAAAAATAAACCCCAATATATGTAAATTTATTTTTAAAGGTTTACGTGAAAGTTATAGCGTTTACAAATGCCGTAATTGCGGCAATCAGCTACTTATAGCGGAACTGAGCGACTGTGGCAGGTATTTTGACACTGGGGGGAACTGATTGGGTGTCACTGACATCCCGAGTGACACCGATACAGTGATCAGTGCTAATAAAAAGCTCTGACACTGTACTAATGGCACTGGGCAGGAAGGGGTTAACATGTGGGACGATCAAAGGGTTAACTGTGCTGTGTGCTGTTTCACATTATGTGCTGTGTGTGCTTTCAACTGTAAGCACATTGCTTTGTATGGCTCTGCTATGCAGAGCCATACAAAGCAGTATGCAGGAGCTGACAGAGGAGAGAACTGTATTGTTTACATACAATTCTCTCCTCCATCGGCAATACTCTGCGATCACTGGGTTGTGGCGAGTAATTAGCCGGGCCAGCTGAGGCCACGAATGCAAAATCATGGATATATATGTGTGTGTGTGTGATGTTGCACACCCACGCCGCCCTGTAGCAGTATTTCTGCTATAGGACAGCCGGGAAGCAGTTAGCAAATGAAAATAAACAAGTGAGACTGAAACATTTTTGTTTTTCATTTTGTTTGTATAATAATTATGCACACTAATAGTTGACCAATAATTGTGCGCACATAGATATTCTCCTAAGAAAGCAACACCTCATTTTTACTTTCTTAAATATTCAGGTTTGAGGTTTATTAACATTTTGGATTGATTGAGAGTACTGCAGTTTTTCAATAATGAAATAAATCCTCAAAAATACACCTTGCATAATAATTGTGAATTCAGTGTACAGTACTTCCGAAGGTAAGGGCTTTGGTACCTGTTGTAGCTGACAGTGCATATTCTGATATACATACTAGGGGGGTACAACTGGGGGAATCAATGGTGGAGAAGGATCTGGGAGTTCTGGTAGATCACAAGCTTAATAATGGCATGCAATGCCAAGCTGCGGTTTCTAAAGCGAGCAAAATCCTCTCTTGTATTAAAAGAGGTATAGACTCCAGAGAGAGAGATATCATATTACCCCTGTACAAAATCATTAGTAATACCTCATATGGAATATGCTGTTCAGTTTTGGGCACCAACTCACAAAAAGAACATTGGGGAACTGGAGAAAGTACAAAGAAGGGCAACTAAACTGATACGAGGCATGGAGGAGCTCAGCTATGATGAAAGATTAGAGGAACTGAATTTATTCTCTCTTGAGAAGAGGAGATTAAGGGGGGATATGATCAACATGTATAAATACATCAGTGGTTCATATAGTAAACTCTGTGTAGAGTTATTCATCCTGAGGTCATCACAGAGGACAAGGGGGCACTCTTTATGTCTGGAGGAAAGGAAATGTAATCTCCAAACACGGAAAGGTTTCTTCACAGTGAGAGCTAAAAATGTGAATAGACTCCCTCAAGAGTTGGTTCTGGCCAGCTCAGTGGATTGCTTTAAAAAAGGCCTGGATTCTTTCTTAGATACACAGAATATAACTGGATACTAACATTTATAGGTAAAGTTGATCCAGGGAATATCCGATTGCCTCTCAGGGGATCGGGAAGGAATTTTTTCCCTGTAGGAGCAAATTGGATCATGCTTTGCTGGGTTTTTTGCCTTCCTCTGGATCAACTGTGGGTATAGGATTATAACTTTTTATTTTTTTTAATGGTTGAACTGGATAGACTTTTGTCTTTTTTCAGCCAGACTAACTATGTAACTATGATGCTGCTATTCACATCCTTGCCTAAAGTGTGCTAGTTCTTTGCCGGTGACTAAGTAGTGACAGGAAAAGGATGGAAACCGCAGAGAATGTCCCTGCAAGAATAAGTAAACAATGGCAGATATCTGTGTACTGACACGGCTCCCTTTAATTCTTAAAGTGTTTGTACCTATACCCAGTAGCCTCAGTTGATACACCAAGATAAAATGGTTCCTCCTACATACGTTGTGCTGGTTTATGTAGAGCCTTCTGCAACACACAAGTGAAAGGATTGTTCTCAGCAGCAGAAAGCAGGGTGGGGGACGGAAGGTAGGAGCAGGGGCGGACTGACCATTCGAGCACTCAGGCACTGCCTGAGGGCCCGGGGTCAGTAGGGGGCCCCATAATGCCCCTGGTACCATTTTTATAGGCTTTTTTGAGTGTGGGCAAGGACACAGGGGCCCCATGACCCCCTATTGCTTGGGGGCCCCATGAGTTGTCAGTCCGCCCCTGGGTAGGAGGTCGAAGTTTGGCGGGGAGGGGATCTGATGTCACTCACACTACAGAGCTAATGCACAGAGCTGAACGTAACCTGATAGCTAAGTGGAGGGAAGGGACACACCCTCTCTATACAGGCTCATACAAATAGAATACAGAGCTGAGTCTATGAGTAGTTAGCTGTGTTCTGGGGGGAGCGGGCTGTCTCCCTCCAGGCTGTTGTGCTGCCTTCAAGTTCTATTGGTGACTTATGCAGCAAGCAGAGAGATCAGAAATCAGAGATGAACCAGACTTAGTGCTTTGGATCCAGACTACTACACACTATAGTGGGACAAGCTTCTTCATATCTGAGGCTTACAACCACTTTAAAGTGACATTTAAATTGAATTTATTTTTCATAAAACAGATGCAAATAACTTTGGTTACATATATTGTTTTCAATAAATTTCCTCCTTCCTCCTTTACTATGAAAGTTGTCTCCTGACCATGCAGACACACTCCTGTTCTATGTCGCCCACTGTGGCCCCAGGACCTCTGGAATCCTGTGTGAGTCTCCTGTACATGCGCACTGCTACCCTGTACTACAAGTCATTATGCAGCCACTGTGAGAGGCACACAGGTAGCATCAGAAGGAATCACCAGTAGCTTTTGCACTTGCAGCGACTGCAAGTGGAGTTGTAGTACAGAGCAAAAGTGTGCACATACAGGGGACTCATAAGGGACTCCATATCCTCCAGGTACATATAAAGACATGCATGAATGCAGCTCTGTATTCATTAAGACATCATTCAGCTAATTCAATACATTTTCTTAATTGCTAGCAGTAAGTACCTGAATTTGATCTAATATCAGCCTCTCAGAGTTCCTGTAAAGCAGAGCTCAGACTAAGAGTGAACAATGCAGCACAAGGAGCCAATTAATTGTGCTGCAGTGCTCACGTGCTAACAGGGAACATGCTGATAGGAGAAAAGAGCAGAGTGACAGAGTGATGGGCTTATCAGTCTGCGTCTTCTGCTTTCGCTGTACAGTCACAGGCTTGGGGAGGAATAAGATCTGTAAGTGTTACAAAGCAGAGAAAACTCTGCCAGATGGGAATGTGGTGTTTGGCAGAGCTGTGTAAATCTCAGGACTGGGTGGACAGAAATACAATCCTTTGACAGGTTACATATATGTACTTTATCTGTGTATTTAATTGTTTGTCTGGAGTTCACTTAAAGCAAAATTAAAATATTTTATTAAATGTAACCCAGGTGGTTTATTCCATAATGTGCTAGTATACCCCACATATTAATACATTATGACAGACTTACCTAATAAATGATGCCATCCAGCACTGCAGCATCAGCGCTACCACTGGTCCTGGGTACATACATCTTCTGGGTTTTTCTTCTTAGGTTCCATCTGTTTGGCCCCTTGAATGGCCGGGACGCAATGACATTTGGTATAGACATCACCACGGTATAGAGCGGTGCTGTAAATGTACATTACATCTGACTGGTGAGGGGTGCATTTATGGCAGAAGAGAAAAAAAAGGGCTCCTGTTTTATAAAAGCCCTGACTGTCTGCATTTTTTATAAATGTGGGTTCAATATTGCTTTAAGCTACTGATGTCTTTTGTAACTGAGAGCTGAAAATAGGAAGAATCCATGTTACTGGTGGTTAGTATTGTCTTGGAGAGAGAGGATGAGTTTGGCTCCAGACATAGGTATGGAGTTCAGGCTATCTTGTGATGGGTTATTATTATATAATGTAGACTTTTGTGTTTCAAAGGATGTGCAGAAGGGACAACGATATGCTGATAGCTATGGCCTGGAGTCTCTGTGGCTTGAAATTTAACTTACAATGCAAAATCCACATTACAATATTATTCTTTCTTTCCTAAACCTGATGAACAGACAAAACCAATGTCTTGAATAGATACTGCTGCTTCTCTAAAATGCAGAGATGGAGATGCTAAATTACGTTTCCCAGATATCATGGTTTTAGTTTTCAGAGTGCCTCTGCAAGGAAATGAACTTATTCTGTTATATGGCTTCAAAATGGCCCTTTCCCTTATAAAATGATATGTATTATGAATTCCACTATTCAAGATTTCAGATTTCTAAGATCTCCAGTGAACCTTCAAGAAACTCAGAGGGAACCTGCGGCAGCATTGGTGCCATCTGTCAGCCAAATAATGGCATTTTGTGTCCCAGGGCACATTGCAGAGGGCGCCAGAATGAGCATGTTTTCAGAGACAGGATCAAGCACCAGCATTATACAATCTTCATCTCTTGCTCCATTATAGTAACTCCCAGCAGGGTCATAATATCCATGTATATTCCTGCATTTTCTTCAAACAGAATGCAGTAATAATAAACACCACTGAAGGATCAAAACTCCAGAGTAAATGCTAAAGTTCAGTTTTTTTTTTTTAAATCATTACAGCATTACTTACAGTCAATGTGATGTGTCCCTCATGCTGTTGGGTTCAGAATTAGTTGAAATCTTTTATCCGCAGATCTCCCTTACTCCCACAGCGGTAATCTTCCAGTGCGGTTGGGGTAAAAGAGCCGAGGGGCCTGTCATATGCACTCATCATCTGTGGCAACTACACCTGCCCCTTCCGTCACTTCTTCTGTTAATAGAAGTCACACTATACCTTCTAGGATTGAAAAGCACTCTCTGAATGGAGGAGGCGGACCTTTAATTGATCCACCCGTCCTCCATTCATGGATAGCTTTTCATTCATGGCAGCTATTATTATTATTATTATTATAATACAGGATCTATATAGTGCCAACAGTTTGCTCAGCACTTTACAATATATAATACAGTTTCTATGAATAAAGTAGGGGGTGGGAACAGCCGACATAGTACATAGCACTCCTGATGAGTGCCTATGACAGGTCCCTCAGCACTATTAACCCCTGCCACACTGGAAGATTGTGGAGAAGGGGGGGGGGGGGGTATTGGAGAACAAAATATTTTGACTAATTCTGAAGCAATCAGCACAAGGGACAATACTTATAGTCGATGTGATGGCTTTTTAAAACCTTTATTGCCTAAACTTAGGCTTTAACAACATATCCATGCCTGAGGAAGACACTGTGGAGGAGATTTACTGAAACTAGTGCACTCAGGATCTGGTGCAGCTCTACAGAGCAACCAATCGGCATCTAACTTCAGCTTGTTCAATTAAGCTTTTAGAATAAAACCTGGAAGCTGACTGGTTTCTCTGCAGAGCTGCACCAGATTTAGCACTCTCCAGGTTTTGTAAATAACCCCCACTTTTAATAGCCCCCTATATGTCAAATGTATAATGATATGTACCAGGCACTTCTGTTTACCAATATTACCGCTTCAGTTATACTTTCATCATGTAGTAGATACTATCTTATGTCTGTTACTGATTCCATTATAATTGCACCCAGTGGATCTTTGTAACACTGTTTATTTTTGTTCAAGCTTTTAGATATGAGTGATATTTCTTTTTACACAATCTACATCTATTAAACTATTTACTGAAGAATATTTGTAAATATATAACCTTTACTTTGGCCTTTTAATCCCTATGGATAATCCATCATTATGGCATACGCTGCCTAGTACACAGATATTGTAGATAAGGGGGTCAATTCACTAAGAGTTAAATAATGACTGAAAAAATGTGGTAAAATAACACATGCGTTAAATTTTTAGCAAATGTGTAATTCACTAAGAATTTGGCTGTAAATAACTCTTGCACTAAAATATTTGTATTGCGGTAATTACTGCATATTTTTTCTTCTATTCCTCCTATCAGTTCATCCCCCACAGTTACTACCTTTTGTACCACCAGCGCCCTCCCTCTTAGATTGTAAGCTCCCAGGATCAGGCTGTCCTAACCCTCGTGTATTGAACTGTATTGTTGCTGTATTGTCTCCCTTAATATTGTAAAGCTTTGAGCAAACTGTTGGCGCTATATAAATCCTGTATAATAATAATAGTAATAATAATAATTTCATACTGTAATTTATCACACGGTAGCTGGTTGTTAAGGAAGCCAGCAGCAGCATCCTTAACAACAGATGACTCATCAGCTGTCAGTGGGTGTCCCACTGACAGCTGAATGTAAACAATTACAAATGATGAAAAAAACAGTGTGGGCCCCCCCATCCATACCATGCCCTTTGGGTCTGGTTTGAATTTTGGAGGAACCCCACACCAAAATAGCAAAAACAAATGGTGTGCGGGTCCCCTCACAATCCTAAGGGATTTTGGGTCCAGTATGGATCGGGGGGGGGGGCACCGTTTTTTTTAAAAAAAAAAACATTTTGGCATAGGGTTGCCATTAATATCCATTTCAGACCCCTAGGGGTTGCAGGGGGACCCCCTCACTGCATCTGAAAAAATACTGCATGTGATACCGCCAGCAAAATCCAGGTAATAGATATTGCATATTTTTTTACTTTCTGTTCTGTTTGTGAATTGGTCTTCAGCTTACCACATAGTTTTATTGCGGTATTTATCAAGACATTTTTAATTTTGCCTGTTTAAAGGAGAAGTACAGCCAAAGCTCTTTTGGCTGTACTTCTTCTGTGGATCGCAGGAGTGCAGTGCGTTCTGCAGTGCTGTGACCCATTTTCAGCTGACAGCAGGCTGAAGCCCTCTGTCGGCTGACATCACTCAGCTGGTCCAGGCCAGGGAAAGATCCCGACTTTAAAGTCAGGATCCACCCCAAAGACTGGAGTGGCACCTGGCTCAGCCTATCAGCAATCCACTGGGAGCCTGAGCCAGCCACTCTCTCCCCCTCCACAGCCCAGCACTCCAGTGTGCACAGGGATGGGGGCAGAGCAGACAGTGCTGATAGTCACCACTTTCTGCTTCACAGCGGTGGTGTGAACTCAGCGATTAGTTCTCACACTTAGAGCCAACGGGGGACAGATGCTGCATCCACCTAGGTAAGTATAATTAAGGGGAAAAAAGGCCAAATCTCTCTTTTAAGTATTATGATGATAGTAAAGATTGTTATTATTGTCATTATTATAACCCTTATTTTTCATAATCTTTAGAACAAATCTGTCTTTGGGAGAAATGCGTACACTTACATATTTATTCTATTGAAAAATGCAGGCTGCCTAGTTCTGTACCTTCTCCATCACCATTCCATACAAAATGTGCAGAGCATGAGTTCTATAGCGCATACTTGTTTCAGTACAGTTACGCAGAATGTACTGAACCCAAAGGACCAGCAATACAGCCAGGAACAACACGGATGACATGGAGAGCCTTACACAAAAGTCTTGGTTGAATTGCTGGTAGCAAATCACATGTAATATAACAAGTTACTACCTACCTGGGCTAACATTTACAGCAGGGTTTCTCAACCAGGGTTCCATGGAACTCTAGATCAGCCTTTTTCAACCAGCGTGCTCAGGCACCCTGGGGTGCCTTCAGGCTTCTTCAGGGGTGCCTGGCAAAATGCCTAAAAATTGTATACAAATCAGCGGGTGGATCAATCTTGCCTTTTAGTAACCAAAGCCACAGGTTTTCATTGTGCACTTTATAACCTTCTAGCTGCTGGCATCCTAATCACCAATGACATCACCAGTTGATAAGGAGGGCTTCGGGTGCATGTACATCATCCTCGTTTGTCCCTCTCTTGCCCCTCTCTATCAGCACTGGTGTCACTTTACCGAAGTGATGGAGAAAATGTGTGTAGAATAGTTTTTTAGATTTTAAATTGGGGTTCCTTGAGATTGTGCGGAATTTTAAAGGGTGCCTTGAGATTATCAATAATTTTAAAGTGTGCCATGACTGAAAAAAGGTTGAGAAGCACTGCTCTAGGGTTTCTCCAGAGGTTCCTTGGGGTTCCTGGAGCAAATTCTGCCTCTCAGAGGCACTGACAACATTGATCTTTTGAGCTATCTGTAAGGGGGTAATTTTTCCCAATAACCACAAGTGTAAGATCATTCTTCCCACTGGCCATCACACTAATGTATTATGAGTTGCAGATATAGTCATTTTTAGCAGGGGTTCACTGAGACTGGAAAGTTATTTCAAGGGTCCCTCTGTATTTAAAAAGTTGAGGAAGGCTGGTATACTGTATTTCTCCTGCTTATATTTAATCCAAAGCCTTTGATTGATTAGGAAAGTGTGCTTCCAGGCCCAGCTTTCCCTCTGCTCAAAAGAAACATTAGAAAAAATATACAGCTATCTTCTTAGATTGTAAGCTCAAAGGAGCAGGGCCCTCCTAACCCTCTTGTATTGAACTGTATTGTTGCTGTATTATCTCCTGTTATATTGTAAAGCGTTGAGCAAATTGGTGGCGCTATATAATAATAATAATACTCAATAAATTAAAGCATCAGTTTATTTGACAAGGGATACTGAGAGGTTGTTGGGGGTTTATAATTATAATTATAAACCCCCAACAACCTCCCAGTATCCCTTGTCAAATTGATGAATGAAAGAAGAGAGACCTGGTTAAATATTCATTCCCCATTGCTTCATTCTTTAAAATAATAATTTACAGTAAAACAAAACACTTTACATACCTTTTTCCTGTAGTCTTTAGGGTGGGTCCTTTTCATTTCTTTTTAATGGTAGGAAGATGTCTGTCCTCCAGGACTGAGTCATGCATACATAATGACATGTGAGCGCCACTCTATACAGATAGTGATTTAGATGATGCTGGGCCATCATTCAACCCAGAAACAAATGGCGCTGGACTGCTGTGATAAGTTTGTGGGGGACCGCGCCAAGCAATTGTTTTATTTTCACTGGAGTTTTGCTTTAAAACTAACTTTAATGCAGTAATCTGAAGGATGGTTGAAAAGTTTAATGCCACAATAGAACATTTATTTATACAGATCTCTAGACTAGAGCTGGAGTACTGAAAAGAAAAGAGAGACAGGTGGACAGAGTTCCAAAAGTGGGACTGTCCCTCCAAATGAGGGGCAGTCGGGAGCTATGCTTGGACACAATTGGTGTAACTCACACAGCATCCCTGCCTGCAGGCTCCAGTGACATAAAATCAACCCTCTGTCACTTAAGATTTATTGTTAAAAACAGCATACTGTATATTTGTTAGTATTGCTTCATGGACAAATTTTCCGTCACACTTTACAGCTGCAGCACTTTCAGCTAGTATCATTTCTCTATTCTAGGAGACAAAAAGAGAATTATAGAGAGGGAGTAGAGAAAAATGCATGGCGGTAAATGTATTTAATAATACAGATTTTTTCATATTGCATAGCGAGTCAAGTGTCAGACATGAACAATCAATCTATCCTGTTTCCAATCCCATCTTCAATCTCCACACACAGCATAAACAGGTCTCTGGGAACATTTATTGGCTTTGCCTATCCTTTTAGTGACTTCATTTTATAATTTATTGGATGACATCATGTTCTGCAATTTTTATGTATATTCATAGTACACAGCTAAAAACAGAACATTTTATAGCTCACACCCCTTGAATTTGTAATGCATTGTTCCTGGTTAGGTTGTCACTTGGGAAATATAAATGACACACAGAGCTGTAGTCTCTGTAGCTTTTCAGGAATTAAATTTGCATCCCTGTGCTAGCCAGTTGAGGGATGTGCTTGTTTTTATCAGCCTCTTATTCTACTGGGAGATAACAAATACATGACAGGGAAGAAGAATGTGAATATAATTTATTTGGAACACACTCATTTCTTTATTTAGAACACTGGAGTAGTATTTTTTTTTATTATGATTATTTTCCAGATAATGAATATACATATATAATCAAATCCCCCCCCCTTTATAACTTGCCCTGCGTTCTCAACTGCATAGGGAGCTCAGAGAGCTGGGGGAAGAGAGACAGCAGCAATCTGGTCTTCCCATTGAATTGCTGTGTGTGTGGGGGGGGGGGGGGGGCTGTCGGCAGAAGCCTGATTGGAGGAGAGCAGAGAGACTGGCAGGGACACCAAGGATTTCACACAAAGGAAGCAATACAAAGAGAACAGGATACTTTTCCATACAAGTACATGGTACAGCAGGCACATATGAATATAAAATGGGGTAACATATTCTTTATTATGTCTATATTACAGAAGTTGCATTACCATTTATGCATTTCTGTTTTAATAAAAACATAATCTTACAATACAATATAAAACTCTTATATATGTAAATATGCTATAGCACACAAATGCCAGTTTAGCACCTTTCTTTACTCTGACCATACATTGTGTGAATTTCAGCCAGTTCCTGGTAAACTGGCAAAAAATTCCCTAGTAGATGGCCCTATTGGCCTCTTTTGTTTGACATCCTTCAGATGAGAAAGTAAAGGAG